TCTCCATGGAATCTCTGGAAGGGTTCTATTAAATATCATGTCCTTCCTAACACGTAAGTCTCGGAGGGTCTTTGTTAACGGCTAGCCATTGGAAGCCCTTAAGATCAATTCTGATGTCCCATAGTTTTTTCTCGTCGATTCTAACGTGTTTTTATTGTATATTAATGATCTGCCTAAGGTCATACTCTGGTCATTAGTAAGTATCTATGCATATGATATAACAGTTTACATGTGCACTTCTAAAAATCTGGAAGATTAGATCAAGGGCAGCTCAACTCTACTTTGAGCTAGTCCAGGTGGCTCAATGGAGGAAAGGGCTGGCTTGTAAAATTCAATACAGCCAAAACGAAACTTTCACCAATCATGATAGATTGGTGTTTTCTCAAGGAGGTTTATTGTCCTGAACGTTTATTGAGACCGAAGCATTCTCCAGGCCACAAATGGAACTTATATACCCTGCCAATTGCTAAAGATGACAGAAAATTGATTAGTTCATTGTAACACTGCAGTATTTGATTCCCCGTTATCCTGTGTCTTTACAAGGATCACAGATCAGACCAAAAATGATATATTGCTACCATATCTAATCTAGATCTTCCCAGTCCGCGCTTTCCCTGTCTTGATAGAGTTTAAAAGAGTTTACGCTGCCCTGTGGGTGATGAATTATTTTCCACCTAACAACCGCTTTCCCACAGACGAAACGTGTTGAGCGTCTCGCTATTCTGTTACGACTTCCATGTCACGAGCTATATTCCTTAGTGCCACCACCCCTGATCTTTAAAACTGGGACCAGCCGTGCCACGTACACAAGAATGAATCATCGCCATTCCTTTCATATTCCTACAGTAAGAATGAATTTCTATTCTTCCTAAGAATTTCGTCTTTGTGGAACAGAATCCCGGCAGGATATTTCCTAATCAGTATAAGCTTAAACTCTTCAAGTCTAGGCTTAACTGTTATCTTTCCTTCCTAGAGAAATGAACTTAATTTCTTGCTCTTTCTTACGCTCATACTACACTATGCAGTAATCTTCTTTGTTGAGTGACAATTGGGGTTTGCGTTGAGTAATCATTAGTATAAAAACGATAAAAGAATACAAAGGGAGAAAGCAAGAAAGCCATTTTCCCAGGTGTATTAAGTTTTAAATATGGGATATATATTTTTTAACCCGTTTGAATGTATGGCCCTTAGAAAAAGGGACAACTCAAGACGCAAGCTACAAATTGGGCATGTCAAAATCAAGCAAGTATGGAAACTTAACTATCTTGGATGATTTACAATAACGATAGAAAATGTGTTACAAAAGTCCGAAATCATATCACAAAGTTTTAAGAGACACGAAAATGTGTTGCCTTGCTATGTTAATATCCATCTATCTGTGAAGTCAAGTGGGTAGAACGTTCGCTTTCTGACCATGAGACCCAGGTTTTTTCATAATATCAGGCATAGGATGTTGATCCCAGCAAGTAGCATCTTTAGAAAGTGTCCGAAAATTATAATAAGTGTTAACCCAACCTTGTAAGTGAAATTTAGTAGATGAAATTATCGGAAACCGCTGATAGTTGTGTTAGCACAAAGTCACAAGTCATCGTGACTGATTTACGATGACATATGATTGCTTACTTGATTGATTTTTTTTACGGCTTATTAACCCTTTGCGCGTTATTTAAAGCGAAAACATTATGGATGCTAAGAATAATTCTTTTTTTTTTTGCGATTGAATATTGCATACGCAATTTTTCTGACAGCAATGATTTTCCAAACCCAACTCGTACTACTTAACCCATAGCTGGTGGGGAAGAGATAAATTCATATATTGTCCATAGATATTAGTGCTTGAGTAAAAACTATCAAAAGAAGAAAGAAGAAGGCAAAGGTTTATAAAATCTTTAACTCAGAATCACGAATATGACAATAAAGTGAAGAGACACAAATTCGTATTACTTTGACTGAATTGGCAAAAAGACTTGCCTTCGTTTAATACCTACATGTATTCTAGAAGATTCAATAAGTCAGTCGATGGAATGTCTTATGTGATGAGCTTTCCTCTTTGATACTTCGACTTCACAAATTTAAGCACAGTACTAGATTGTCAGTTCGGTCTCATCATTTTACTGCTAAAATTGCTAAACATAACCCTAAGCTCTCTTCTTGCTTTTTGAAATTGCTTTCGGCTGTTTGCTTTCCTGTCAGCTACAATCTTTAAGAATTTAAATGCAACATCAGTCGTCGTCTTCTATCTCCTTGAACCCTGTTCATTTATTATCCTTTCTCCTCAATAGCGTCTTAGTGGCTTTATTGCCTTTCTTGTGAAATGATTTTTAAAAATTAGTAAAACACTGAAAGAGATGTATTATAGCATAGATAAGATCTAAGACATGTAGCACCAATTCTACAAGAAATAAGGAAAAAACGCTCTGAATTTGCAAAAGCTTCTTCGAATTAATATGGTAAATGTGTTACATTTATCCAGAATGATGAAACGAAAATCGGTGTTCACTGCTATTTGCTAGAAACAAAGAAAAGAGTACTAAACTGTTACATGAAATCTGTCTTCCTGCATGGCACTCAGTGCTGGACAATCTCTTCAAAGATGAATCAGAGACTTCAAAAGATGCTGAGGATACCATGTGTGCAACGACGAATTTTTAGAGAAAATGGAAACAAAAAGGAAACTTATACTTCGCACTAGGAAGAGGCTGTTGAGGTTTCTGGGATACATAATGAAGAAAGAGAATCTGATATTCTCAGGAAAGATTGAAGGCAAGAGAGACAAAGGAAAACAACATTCAGTAAATAGATGTCGGAACAGGGTTTAGGAGAAATAACAGACAAAATTTATTAAGAGCTACAATGGACAAGAAGTTGTGAAGAGCCATGACCGCCTACTTCATTAGGGGACATAGCACATGAAACATAGATTTATTTCAAAGGTGCTAACTTACACACAATCGGGGCAATGTCAGCCTTCAAAATTATCACTTGGAAATGCAAAAGTGGGTGTGTGAATTAGTGTTTTGCCGGTCACGACAGAATTTTTTTTTTATTATAGGGTGCGAAATACCCATGTTCCTTCACAAGCTGAAATTCTACTTAAAACAACAATGGCGTCCCTTCACAGCGAAGACGTTACGCCTTTTTCTTCAGTCTTCGATAGTGGGTCAGCGATTAATGTCGTCAAATTCATAAGGAAATGCCGAACTGTGGGCACGTCAACATGATGGGACATATATGAACCATTATACCAAAACAATTACCAACAATCGACACATGTATCTGTCTATATTTCTGAGATGAGGTATTATGTACACTATTTACATTATTCGGACTATTGTCCACATCTTTGTCGCCATATTTATTACAACGTTTCGGCCGTTGTACGCTCCAGCCTTCTTCAGGTGGTTGGAATGACGAACTGAACCCTTTATTTCGCTCACTGAGGTAGACTGTTCTAGCCCCACGTGCCATGTCTTCAAGGACACATGGCACAGTGAATAAAGGTGTTGGTTAGATCCAGTGACAGGACCCAAAGTGTGTGAGGTCAATACCCGGTTAAGGCAGTGGAGAACTTTCATAGGGAAATTAACAGGAGATAACCGATAACTGAGATGCATTAAACATGGTACGTGGAACTAGAAAAGTCTACCCCAGTGAGCGAAATAAAGGGTTCAGTTCGACATTTCAACCACCTGAAGAAGGCCGGAGCGTACAACGGACGAAACGTTGTAATAAATATGGCGACAAAGATGAGGACAATAGTCCGAATAATGTAAATAGTGTACATAATACCTCATCTCAGAAATATAGACAGATACTGAAAGGCTGAAACGTTGTAATAAATATGGCAACAAAGATGAGGACAATAGTCCGAATAATGTAAATAGTGTACATAATACCTCATCTCAGAAATATAGACAGATACTGAAGGGCCGAAACGTTGTAATAAATATGGCAACAAAGATGAGGACAATAGTCCGAATAATGTAAATAGTGTACATAATACCTCATCTCAGAAATATAAACAGATACTGAACGGCCTAAACGTTGTAATAAATATGGCGACAAAGATGAGGACAGTAGTCCGAATAATGTAAATAATTAACTCATGATTTTAAAGGAATCAGTTGGACCTAAAATGGCCACATGCAGTATAAAAATTAATCTTCGCATAACAGATGAATGTGCGTCTGAGAAAATTCTTAAATTTATGTATTATGAGGCTTAACTGATTCGGATTAAACTCAAGGCCTGTAACACATGTTATAAATGTATCCTACACTAAAAGGATATACCCATGAATCTTAAATCTTAAATTATTTACTAGCATTGATATAGAGTTTATAAAGCAAGTAAATGTTTAACTTTTATCAATAAACAAAGATGTACATGAAGCAAATGATATTTCAGTAGATTTAATGTTCTCAATAGAATGTAACCTGTCATAACGAATAATTAACGTTACAGTGATTCGTACATTTAAATATTAACCTTACCAGATTGTAAGATGGAAATTTTACCAGACAGTTTGAAAGTGTTTAATGTGCAGCCCTCGAAAATACTTGGGCTGTCGCATTAGATACTTTTGCAACTGGGTTAATCTGGCATTGGTGCTTCATGACAATGAACCATGACTTTGTTGAGTGATTCGTATAGTAAATTACTTGTCTTCATTTTGTTTTAGGGATTTATTTCGCAATGCTTTGGGCAACAGACAGCATGATAAATGTTTTAATGCGTTAATTGCTTTGAAACCTACTTTCAGGAATTTGGAGATTCGTTTAGCAAATTTGGTACAAAAATAAATATTCTTATCATTACTTAATTTCTATAAAGATATTTCTGTTCCGTCTTTCCTGTGCGTGTCAGAATAAAATTCGCTGATTTTATAAATATTCAAGAATTTACGATAAGAATTAAAACCATGAAATTCTTTAAATAAATAAAAAGACAAGACCCCTACCAACACGAAACTGAGGCTTAAAACATTAATATCCATCAAAATGGCTCATCACCTTTTTTCTTTTCTTCACTTTTACTTTACTTTCTCTCTCTCTCTCTTCCTGTCTCCCTTACTCTATTTTTCTTTCTTCTTCTCCGCCTCTCTCTCTCTCTTTATCTCCTATCTTTCTCGCCATTTCTTCATCTTTCTCTCTATCTTTCTCTCCCCATATATCATTCTCTTCATCTCTCTCTCTCTCTCTCTTTCTCTCTATTTTTCTCCATCTTCTTTTCTGATCCTTTCTCCCTCTATCTCTCTTTGTATCTCTTTCTTTCTCTCCATCCGTTTTCTTTCTATCTATCTATCTCTCTTTCTCTTTCTGCTTCTCTTTATCTTACACTATTTCTCTCCCACTTTCTCTCTATCTTTCTCTCGCCATCTATCATCCACTTCCTCTCTCCCTCTCCATTTCTCTCGATCTCTCTTTCTCTCGCTCTCTCTTTATCTCTTTTCACTCTATTCCTCTGTATATATTTTTCTCTCTCGATTTATCATTCTCTTACTCTTCTCAATCTGTATTTCTCTTTCAATCTCTCTCTTTCTCTTTTCTCCCCCCTCTCTCTCTCTCTCTCTCTCTCTCTCTCTCTCTCTCTCTCTCTCTCTCTCTCTCTTTTTAAGGCTGGTTTTGGGAAAACATGAGTGCTAATCTTCCGCCGCTGTCTTTGAGATCATTTGATACTTTGTCCCTTGCCTCTCTTTTTTCTTCTTCTTGTCTCCTTCGACTTCTTCATTGCTTGTGTTGTTCTCTTTCATCGGGCCACTCCCTGCAACGAGCAGAGTAGTTCCCACGCTTCGCCAGGGTCAACATAGACACAATCTACAACTATCTGCAAAATCACCCTTCCTCCCTTTACTCCCAGTCACACACTGGCTGCCCTCTATCACAGGAAGTGTTATTATTTGTCCCCACCCCCATTAAAAAAAAAAAAAAGCTCTTTCCTATCGTTCCAAACACTATTGTCAGTCTCCTGCTAACGACTTGAATAACAAGCACTTCTTTCTTAATTATTCCGCCTTCAGGCCTTGGAGTAAACAAAAAATAACTGTACCCTGAGACCAAGGATCCATTCCACAGACTGTACCTCCCCACTGCACAGAGTAAGAACGTGTGAACAAATTGGCATTCGCGGCTTGAGTGACGTATCCAGGTATTTCATTTGGTCAGAACCCATAATGAAAATTATCCTTGTGTGATATTTGGCATTCTATTGATACGCAGAATGTATTTTGCTAAGTTTGGCTCAAAGCATCTAAAGGCAGACACACAGTGAGGATCGAACACACTACACAGCTGAATGAACTGTTAATATTCGTTTGACAGTAAGTATATGTAGAATAAATATGAAACAGAATATTTTCTGTTTTTTATCTAGCTTCCATTTTCTTTTTTCTTTTTTGATTATTATGCAATATGTGCAAAAGTTTCCAGCGATTTTTTTAATTAAAATTACAATAAATAATAATTATATTTATTAATTTCCAAAATGTTTACCTTGATTTTCTAAGGACCTTTCGGACCCCACTTAATAAAACGATTCTGACTCCAACGCAATAAAGTTGGACATGAAGTTTTGAATATCGAAAACATCTCTGGATTTTTAGCCTTATAAGGAATTCCGTTTTGACTGAAATAAATGATATTCTGCGTGACAAGTTTAAAGAATACGGAAGAATAAACAAGAATTTCCCAACTTCATTCCATTTGGAATTGGGTCAATAAATCAATCTGTAGATGATATTTCTCATGCAAAAATATGGCATTCTGGTTTCCCTGTGTTCTCATCAAAACTTTCAATTTGAGGTCATGAATTAAAATGTTATCTCATCTTCAACGACATTGTATGCTGATTCGCCAGCCTTCTCTGTCCCCTGCGAGTTTGTGGAGTTACTGCAGATCTCCTTTGATTGTAAACTTCTCCAAAGGAAAAGTGTGATCTTTCTGTCTTGTTCTTTGACTGTCTTGGTTCAAAGTTGTCATTATAATTGTTCTTAGATGACCACTGGACTTTTTGAACTCAGTCTTTTCAAAGTAAAAACTATGTGTCTTTGTAGAGCTGGACATTCTTTGTTTGTTTGTTTGTTTGTTTTGTTTTGTTTTACGGCATATTAACCTCAATGGGCCATTTAATGCCGAAAACTTTCTTCTTTTTTTTCTGGTAATATTTTTTTTTTAAATCTATTTCTGTTAATATTTTTTCCTCAAATATGTATAGCTGGTAATATTATTTTTTCAAAAACGTATAACTGGCAACACTATTCTTTAAAAAAAACGTATATCTGGTAATATTTTTTCAAAAACGTGCAGCTGACAACATTATTTTTTCCAAAAAGTGCAGCTGGCAACATTATTTTTTCAAGAACTTATTATCAGAGGCTTTGCTGTTCGATATAGTTTATCATCTTACCCAGGGCGCGGATGTAGTTTATCGTCATACCCAGGACGCGGATGTGGTCTGAGTGTTAACTATTTGCCCATAGCTAGGACCCTAACAGGTGCTACCAGTCCAGGTCAGGGTGGACCTGGGAACACCAGCAATTAAGAGGTGGTTCCACACTCCTCAAAACCTACTGATCACAGGCCTACCCAGGACGCGGATGCAGTTTACCGTCATACCAAGGACGGCTGGGCATTCTGGATCCATTCGCAAAATAAGTCCAAGAAGTTTTCCATCTTATAAATGTCATTCTCAGTATGCAAAGTCTTAAATAAGTAGTTACTGCTACGCAGTAACTGGAGCAACTGCCATTACCTACTCCGTCAACTAAGTAAACTTTTAAACCATTTGAAACGATCATAAAACGTATCGGCGTCTCCACGCATAGGTTCGAATCCTAACGGCGACGTCATTTCTTCAATGAGTGATTTGTGACATTCAATACATCTAAAATCCAAGCTAGTAATGTTAGATCGTCACCAAGTCATGATAGACGTTTCTACTCTCAAGTTGGGCCCTTATATGGAACACCCACTGAGACACAAGTTCACCCCCAGCTCTCAAGTGGAACCGATATATACGATGCTAGTCGATTCCGAGTGCCGCTCCAGGAAGTATCTGACACGTCCTGCCATACACTATAGAAGCGAGAATTGACCAAAAAGGAAGTATTGCCGCCATATCTGTGCTGGAACTGCCCAATCTTCACTTTCCAGCCATGACGGAGTTCAAAAGCCTTCATGCATACTTGTGGCCGATGAATTATTTCGCAACCATTCAAGCATTTTCCACGCTGCAACCCAACCTCTACCTACTCCATTGCTATTTCCATGGTAACTATCTAGACAATCTACTTTCTTCGTACTCCACCACGTTCAGACCTTTACAGCTAGGACCCGCCATGACACGTCTAAATACTCGAATCATCCTCATTCCTCAGTATTTTATCTGTAAGAAGGAAGTTCTACTTCTCGGGAACAGCTATTTTGAGGAACAGACTCCCGTGATGATGCTTCCTAGATCACTATAATCTTAACCTCCAGCGCCAACAGTTATTAATTCTACATATCTTAATAATCCGTACTTACTGCTTCCTCTCAAGTCCTTTTAGCATCCTCGTTCAAAAACTTCTACATTGAGAGGCTCTTGGTCTTTGTGTAGGTTGAATATTTCGTTTATTCGAAGGGACGCGGCAACTGTAACGCTCTGCAATAACAGTTCCTTCCGTTCTTCAGCAATTCGCATTAGAATCAACCTTTTTGGGAGTTTATGTCCGCAACATCTCCCGCTGGTTAAGAAACTCTCTTTTGAATATTCAAACCAATTCGTACATTTCTCTACCGTCCACCTTCCTCTCAAGACTGCTGGGTGCTAGATAGTATTTCCGGTAATATCGACAATGCCTTCTCCCTACACCTATTTGCAAACATATTCGTGTTCGGTGACTTTTAATGCCCACCATACCAGGTGACTTACACACCCCGTCACGGACCTTGCTGGCACCCAAACCCTCAATCTCTCAGGCAAGTGGTTGACTTTCCTACACGTTTCCTCAGTAACCCTGAGGGAAACGCTTCTCGATTTCTTTTTTTACCTCTATCCCTGACTCTCGTCCTACTACACAGCTCTGCCCTCTTGGCAACTCTGATCATGTGGTAGTGTATGTAAATATCTCCTTCCGCTCCCCGACAATCAATGAACCTCCAACCAAAAGAATATCCTTCTGTTATCAACGAGCAGATTGGAACTCTTTCCGGTGATTTTCTTCGTGACGCCCCACAGAAAGAAGTTTCTAATCACCCTGTTCAAAAATGCGCGTCTGAGGTCACCTCCTGGGTGAAAGCCGGCATCGATGCTTTCATTCCAGCAAGGAAATATCAAATGAAACCGCGTTCATCTCCTTGGTTCTCGTCTGCATACTCAGCCGTCATAGCCCACAGAAATCACTTATCGTGGCTGTACCAGAGCTACATGTCTGATTGCAACATTCGTCTCTTTGACTCTGCTCATCACGAGTACCAAGAACTGTTTGTTGATAGAATGAAACAACGCAAGCATCTCGTAAGTTCGGTTCTAGATATTATTGGCAGCTCTGCAAGAGTGTGCTGAGCAACAGCAACTCAATCCCAACCCTATTCAAACAATTCGAAATCCTGACGTTTACGGCAGATAAATTCTTTTTCAACCCAACACTCGACTCATCTGGAGTACCCACACCTGATTTCTCCCCTAGAACTGAGGGTATTCAGAGTGATATGCGCATAACCCCGTCACTGGTCTCGGACATTTCTAACTTAGACTTTCATAAGGCAAGTGGGGGTGACGGGATACTAGCCGTCGTCCTAAAGAAATGTGTTCCCGAACTGGCTCCAATTCTGTCAAAACTCTATAACTATTGCCTCGCTTCTCCTTGCTTTCCAGCTTATTGGAAGTCCTCCTCTGTAGTCCCTGTTTTTTAAGTACTCTGGAAAACCTTCTGCCCGTTCTATGTCCCCTTTAGTCTCCTGTCGCTTTCCGGCAAAGTGTTCGAAGCATTAATCCATACTAAAGTGATTAAGTATCTTACCTCTCACGGACCTACTCTCTGACTGACAATATGGATTCCGTTTTACCCGGTCTACCGCTTATGTGCTTACGACCATCACTGAATATTTATATCAAGCTCTCGATAATAATGGCGAAGCTCGTGCCGTGGCTCAACATATCTCGAAGGCGTTTGACAAGGTTTGGCATGCTTGTCTTCTAGGTAAGCTTCAGGACTACGGTATTACAGGACGTTTACTTGATTTAATCCAATCATTCCTATCAAATCGTAAAATGAAGGTCTTTCTGAACGGGCTCGTTTCCAGATAATTTCACACGAACGCGACTGTGTCCCAATGCTCTATATTGGGTCCTACGCTGTTTCTGATCTTCATCAATGATCTTCCTGATGTCATCAGTTCCTACGTAGGCATTTATGCAGATGACACTACCATTTACTCCTGTCTTAATAGCAAATCCGTCAGTAGTGACAAAGTTAATCTGGCCGCTGCTGTTGAAAAGGACCTCCAATTAATGGTTAACTGGGGCAGGAAATGACTTGCAAATTTTAATGCATTCAAAACTAAACTGCTCTCATTTAACAACCATAAAGAAACTTCCCTGCCCTTCATCAGCATCGCTGATACCCCACTCCAGTTACACGTCTCAATGCGCCTTCTTGACCTCACGTTTTCAACTGACTTGAAGTGAAACAACTACATTGAATCAACAGCTGCATCTACTGCAAGGAAAGTTGCTTCATTGTGTCGTGTCAGAAGGTTTTTCTCTCAAAAGTACATCCTACAATCTAAAAAAAATCTAGCATTCATCCGTGCATTGAACACTGTTGCCATATTTGGTCTGATGCCCCTGCTGTTTATCTCAAGATTCTTGACAAAATCCAAAATAGGATCTGCAATGTAATCGATGCTTACTTGGCATTCAGACTTCAGGCACTTTCTCACGTGATGTGGCTTCTTTCAGTCTTCAAATGTTTTCATGGAAACTGCTCTGACAACCTTTTTCTTTGGTGCTGCAACAACATGAATTTAATCGTTCTACTAGATTGGCAACTAGGTCCCACCATTTTACTGTTGAAATAGTTAAATGTAACCGCCACTTCTACTCCAACAATTTCTTTACTCGCACTTCCCGACAGCGGAATTCCCTTCCGCTTACTTGCTTCCCTGATAATAACAATCTTCAAAAATTCAAAGGCAACGTCAACCGCTGTCTTGAACCCCGTCCATCTTTTATATTTTCTTCAATCCCCACTATATACAGACTTTTCTATCAATTTCACTCACTGTAACCCCCTTGCCTATGAGTGACACTCACGCCTTGTTTGGGATGAAATGATTTTTAAAAAAGGCAGAGCAATAAATATTTTCCCAAAATGTTGAGATTTTACCGTTGTTTCTACGGTCTGTCCTGCATCCACCTATGATTTTCTACTCAGGATATTATTAGAGTGAACCCACTTTTCATATGCAGGGACAATCTTTCATAGAAAAAAAAAAAATTTCACGTCATCCAAGTGGAAATTCAGGTGATCAGACGATATTCAATGTTTTGCTCTGATAATGAATTGTTGAACCTATTTTCCATTTCCACCTTTCAGCACATTTACATATTTTTTTGCAAATATCATTTAACTCCTTCAGTATTCAGTACGATCATCATCCGAAAAGAGTTTTCACGTCATCACTTTGTTAATGTTTATAGTCTGAAGTTGTGTAGTTTTCTCTCCAAATCAAATTCAACTTCATTACGCTTGGCAAACTGTTCGTGAAATATACTGTTTCTATCCGATACCCATACACTTCATCCGACATTTTCTTCTTTCCTAACCAATTTTAACCCTGCG